ACCGACGAAAATCTTAACGCATTGTTCTACATTGTTTTCTTAGCATTTGAAGCAATGCTTGGCGCCATCTATTGTTATATCCTTTCCAGCATACAAACAATTTCGAATATCGTTTTACAACGATAATTCGAACGAGAGATGTCGCCATTGCTTTTTTAGAAATTTAAATTGTTTATAGTGCTAATCTTTGCACTTAAGATTGAACATTCAAATATGTAGAAAAAGTGCGAAAAGATTGTCGCCGCTGTGGGAATCGAACCCACGTCTTCGGCATTCGCGGCCTGACGCTCTAGCCACTGAGCTAAACGGCTGATGACCACACCGACGAAAATCTTAACGCATTGTTCTACATTGTTTTCTTAGCATTTGAAGCAATGCTTGGCGCCATCTATTGTTATATCCTTTCCAGCATACAAACAATTTCGAATATCGTTTTACAACGATAATTCGAACGAGAGATGTCGCCATTGCTTTTTTAGAAATTCAAATTGTTTATAGTGCTAATCTTTGCACTTAAGATTGAACATTCAAATATGTAGAAAAAGTGCGAAAAGATTGTCGCCGCTGTGGGAATCGAACCCACGTCTTCGGCATTCGCGGCCTGACGCTCTAGCCACTGAGCTAAACGGCTGATGACCACACCGACGAAAATCTTAACGCATTGTTCTACATTGTTTTCTTAGCATTTGAAGCAATGCTTGGCGCCATCTATTGTTATATCCTTTCCAGCATACAAACAATTTCGAATATCGTTTTACAACGATAATTCGAACGAGAGATGTCGCCATTGCTTTTTTAGAAATTCAAATTGTTTATAGTGCTAATCTTTGCACTTAAGATTGAACATTCAAATATGTAGAAAAAGTGCGAAAAGATTGTCGCCGCTGTGGGAATCGAACCCACGTCTTCGGCATTCGCGGCCTGACGCTCTAGCCACTGAGCTAAACGGCTGATGACCACACCGACGAAAATCTTAATGCATTGTTCTACATTGTTTTCTTAGCATTTGAAGCAATGCTTGGCGCCATCTATTGTTATATCCTTTCCAGCATACAAACAATTTCGAATATCGTTTTACAACGATAATTCGAACGAGAGATGTCGCCATTGCTTTTTTAGAAATTTGGGAATCGAATGGGAATCGAACCCGTTTAGCTCAGTGGCTAGAGCGTCAGGCCGCGAATGCCGAAGACGTGGGTTCGATTCCCACAGCGGCGACAATCTTTTCGCACTTTTTCTACATATTTGATTGTTCAATCTTAAGTGCAAAGATTAGCACTATAAACAATTTAAATTTCTGAAAAATATTTTTTTTAATTATGGATTTTGCTTAACGTTAATATTTTTTTATGATTATTGGCACGTAGCGTTAGACGTGTGTTCATTTATTGTCGCGATGGTAACGACACGCTGTATAATAAACGACGGATTTTAAGGAAACAGATGTCTATTATTAAAAAAGTACTATGTATGTTATATTATTAAAAAAGTACAGATGGCTAAAGTCTTACCTTTTAACGAAGACTAAATAACAGAATAAGACGACGAAAGTGTTTTCTACGGGCTTTTGGTATAAAGGTTTCACTTTCAATTCCGCTTTATATAAGTTACTTGATGCTTTATTAAAGTTAAAGTAAATATTCAAAATAATAAAAATAAGAGCGAAAGTTACGCGTAACGTGGTTTTAAAGATTTGTGGGTGGTTGTGCGTGTCCAATCGCGACTTGGAAAGTGAAATTGCTTTTATATCTTAATTCTTATCTCTAATGTTACGGCATAAAGATTACGGAAAGTTGGTAATGGGCGTTTGAGAATAATATGTGGGCCACGACGCATCTCCGCTTTTTTCCCGTTTACACTAAGGCTGTGTGTACACCGATGGTTTTTTTTTTCGTTTATTTTAAGGCTGTGTGCACGAATGCACTTTTCTTTTATTTCCACAAAACATAAAGAAGGTACGTTTGGATATAAACGTTCGTAAAAGCGGTTCTTTTCCTGTTTTAATGAGAAAGTTGCCAGTGCTTTTCATAAGTGCTCTTCGCAGAAAAACTACTTTATGAAGGTTTTATTGGTCGGATTTTCTTTGAATAGTTTTCACGTATTTCCTATTCATTGACTGTTAATTTGGAATAATCTCGCTGAAAAAGGTGCAAAAGATGACGATAATAAACTGCTGTCATGGTGAAATGTGAAAAATTAAAAAGGAAACTTGCAATGAGTTTTAGAAAACTTCATGTTACTTGCAACTTTGTGTAGATATACTGCCCTGGTCGAACTAAGCGGCGAATACCTTAACGATACAAATCAATTCACATTTCACCGTTTAACAGAGGCGGTATCTTTATATTTACCATACTCGTACCATTTACCGTTTGTTAGATAAATGGCGGTGGTTCTTAAGAGCACGCCGATCTGTCTTTATCAATATTGATAACGAACAAACTAGAAACTGGAATATAAACGATTCCACATAGTCGCGAAGGATTGATTAGGGCGGCTCCTAATAGACATGCATTAGAGATACGATAAAAAGGTAAAGTAAAAGCCTGTACAAGTCCCACTGCTGGGCAAGTGGCAAATCTGTGCAAAAGGCACAGTCCACCACGCGGATTGGAAGACTTCACATATCTTCGAAATATTTTTTTCTGGTATTATTTCGAATATATGCAGGTTTCCTCACGATGTTTTCCTTCACCGCTGAGCACGTGATAATTCGGCACTTAATTTAACAATTTCATTGGTGCTGCCATTGGGATTTGAACTTAGGTTGCTCCAGTATATTGAATTAAAAGCGAGCGTCCGGACACTGAGAGATACGATAGAGAACTATTAAACGTCTTTCAACCCTTATGAGGTAGGAGGAGATATCTGAGGCTCTCATGTACCTCCTAGCGTACTTATGCCCGGTTTCACAGTCGATCTCTAACTTTAAGTGACTCCTAAAAAAAATTATGTGCTAGTTCGTTTTCACCACGGCTTAAGTGGTGGCGAGCACTTAAATTTTTTAGGTGTATAAGAGTTCTAACGTCTTTACCTTGATCCTAATATTTTAACTATTACTGAACGTGAATATTAACAACTATTATAACGACAAGCAGCGCTAGTGGTTATATAACCGTCTGGGAACGCGGCCGAAATCCAAGTGACCGCTGCTCCATGCGACCATGGGTCCCTTGGCTCGAGTAGATAACGTCATATCCGGTATACAGTGTTGCCATCGCCAACAGGTGTCCCTTAAAGTTAGTGGTCGACGGTGAAAACGGGCATTAGTAAGCTAGGAGGTACACGGGCATAAGACAAACAGATGATGAGCGGCATGCTTATCATCGTGGGCCAGAGCAGACGTGCGACAGTAGACAGTAATTAGTAGACGGTAGTAATACTTATTATTGCTACATCTACATACAAAAACATAAAAGGGTGCTTTTAATAATGACTTTCAACAACATTGAATAAATTGTCATTTGGCGAATTGATAGAAACAAACTAATTAAATATGGACGGAAATTAAGTAATTAGTTACGATTTCGACGTTTCATAAGAACGCGCAAGCGTCTATGTGAATAAAATATTTTGAATTCCTCTTAAAGCTCGCGAGGTAGCAAATTTAGAAATATTGATATTTTGTTCAGTAAATAAGTTTTTTAACTTGGTATAAAAATTGCCACTTCTAGCTAATCCATCATAACAAAAAAGGGTATCAAGTGACCATCACATCACATCAAGTGGTAGTGCTTTTGCATTTCGTCTTCTGAGTGTTGTAACCGAGACCCAACTCTTTGAAAGTTGGTGAGACATGTGCGCAAAGGAGTTGTAGATGTGCAGGGGCGGCGGTAATCACTAAACGTCAGGGTAACCGCTTGCTCGTTTTTAAATAACTGTACGAGTAGACTTAATAAACCGACTTGGATTAATGTTATTTTTAGCGCTTGTCGATAAATTTTTTGACGCTGCAGGATTCGAACCTGTAATATTCGGAAGATATTACAGGTTCGGATCATGCAGACCCAAAATTTTTGTAATATTTATCTGCAAAATTTGACATTTATACCACGAAACTAAACATTCTAGATACATGCATTCTGACGGAACATAAGCATAGTTATCAAATTACATAATTGGGTCTTTGAATATATGTTTATACACGCATCTATAAATACATAACGACACTACTCTTGAATAACATGTAATTCGGTTATTGTGTTAATACGTTTACCACACTTGACTAAATAGATGACCATCAGGCTGTGCAGCACTAAGCAATGGCCACTTCCTGATAAAAAAACATCGCGAGACCAATTAAACTAACTGTAGTCGGCGGCAGCGGCGCGTAGGCCGAATGCGGCGTTGACATTTGTCTTCCCCGCCGCCATTTTGGTTCGCAATAAGCGAAGATTTTCGCGCGCTAATTGTTATGCTCACCACGTTGCAAGAACGTCATAGAGTACGTTGCTAAGGCGCCATAATATCCTTTGTTGACAATAGATTTTATAACTGTACACGATGATGAGGCAACACAGGTCTAAACCGACGTTGGCCTACGTAGTGAAGTAAAATAAAGTAGCAGCCTGCATAAGTCCCACTACTGCAAATGCCCCTTTGTAGACAGGGTTTTAGGACACCATACCTAATGCTCCAGGCAGACCACACAGCGTATGGGAATACTTCTTATAGCTATCTACGGATTTTTTGTCACCAATTCGAAAGTATGCAGGGTAACTTTCCTCGCAATCTTTTCCTTCACCGGCGACCATATGATAACTCGGCACTTAAAATTGTAATTTCCTTGGTGCCGGTACCAAAAATCGAACTCAGTTTCTTCGAGTATATTGAATTAAAAGCGAGCGTCCGGACACTGAACTATTACAGCTCTGAGTAAGGTTGTGAAGTTATCATTACTAATATGGAAACAGTTAAAAAATATAAATGAGGCGAACGAAAATCAACGTAATTACGCTCAATAACGATTTAGAAGAAAACAATTTTCTAGTAAGCTTAAGATGTTGTGTGTGGTGTACCTTTCCCTGCGCAGGGTATGTGGATGCCATTTTCTCTAATTAAATTCCAAGAAAGTGTTGCCAGGCTCGCTTTTCATGTTCCACTGGCGGCTGTCATAAATTAATCATCTCGGCTACATTCCCGTCGCGAAATTTCTAATGAAAACTGTCCCATACAGGTCGGTCCACTCTTGTTGACATTTTATCTTGACAGATTTATAATTATTCATGATATTCATTTATGTCAGATAATAATGCATACTTTTAATCGAACTTTCAAACTAGACGAGCTTTCGGAAAATTTCTAAACTCTTCATTTTTATCGCAAACGGATAATATTAAATGAATGCAAGCAGGACTTGAAAAGGAACATTCCTTTCTATATCCCTATAATCTATTCTGTAGCGGCCAAATAAAGGTACTTTTAGTGAGTAAATTCAGGCACTCGATCTAGCTATACTTTTTAGCTGCCATAGGAATGCTATAATCGAATCTAGACTACAAATGCCTGGTAGACCTGACCTACCGTTCGTCTGTCGATCGCCCCACATACCGATGGCGTTGTTAAAACATAGAGCGCATCGAAAGTAACCGATGCATATCATTTGCGACCGCTTGTCCTACATGGCCGCGGCGGTCGCTCGAAGCATCGTTTCCCTTGCGGCGTCGGTCCTTGCTCTATGCTAAACCTCCTTCCTAAGACTTTTTTCCCTTAAATACCAAAAAAACTCACACGTTTACACTACTAAACCTACCTAGTCTACACATACCTAGACTTGGAACTGTTTGTTAATCAATCTGTCCTTGAGACTATTTCAGTCCAGCCGATCGATTGATCTCCGAGGCGATCTCCTTCAGGAACGCACCGTTGTCATCGTTTAATATAATACATACAACTCTTGGACCTAGATGGGATCTTTAGATCTATGAAATAATAAAGCTTTTGATATAATAAATTATTTGAAAACTATGTATTTTTACTTCCTATTTCAGCTTAATTCGTAAAACACTTTTATCTTTCACATGTTGGGTTTTGGAATTTATACCATTTTTTTTAAATAATTCCTCTTATTTTCAGACTGTCGCAGATCAGCGCCCACCGGCGCCACCTGAGATGCAGGCGCGTCACAGCTTCTGGTGGCATCTCCTCATAGACCTGCCCATCCTCCTTTTAGGTAAGAGACGTGACATTAATCATGATTAGAGAATGGTTTATTAGATTATAGTAGTCCCAGTTGTACATCTTTCACCCGCGTTCTAGAGCAGTTCTCACCTCCCCCAACCACTGGTTAATGCTGGTCAATACTATACGGCATCAGGGTCATGGTGCGTATCCATCTTCGATGCAACTGAAATTTCCTTATACGACGCTCGCATGAGCACATGTGACCATATCCAGCTGTTGGTATTCAGCAATCGCTGGAGGCCTCCTGTGCTATGACTAGTTTCGATAAAGTTTTAATAGTCTACGAACTAAAGGCTTCAGTTTAAGTAAAGGAGTGACCTTTGTTCTTATTAACCTGTTACATAACCACTGAATTATAATTATATTAAAGGGCTGATATAACACGAGTACGAATAGAAATTCGCAAAGTTGTTTGAAATTACTTCATGCGATGACGAAGATGCGTATGTTAGTTACGATAACTGCAGATCAATGTCTAAATATTACGGTTTCAATTGTAAATGTTTAATGTCATCTAAGTGCTTTGAACATTTAAGATAAGACTGATACTGTCAATCACGTTATCATTAAACAATAATAATTAGCATAATACAAATGGGTAGATCTAGTCGTCTTTGTGGCCTGACTCGTAAACGGAAAAACCCGGTTAGATCCTGTAACTAATGGATTTGAAAGAAACCAATTGGCATTCGCTCGTATCGCTCGTATACCGCATGTTGAAGATATGGTTAACATCAGGTGAATCGTAATCACTATTAAAGACAAGTAGCGGGAATAAAGAGGAAGCAGAACTGCTTATGACGTACCCTCTGAGAAGCACGTTATTTGCCAGGAGTGTAGATATAAAAGTAAAAAAGTAAAGTAACAGCCTATACATGTCCCACTGCTGGGCGAAGGCCTCCTCTATATAGAGGTTATCAGGGCATAGTCCACCACGCGGCCCCAATGCGGATTGGCGGACTTGGTGTAGATGTATAAAGAGAAAAAATAAACATTAAAATCATCATCATACAAGCCATAGAGCATCTTATTTTTTCGAATTTACACGCAGCTACTTTTATTAAAGAATATGTTTATACATTGAAATTGAGGGAAATTAGACTGGTAGTTCCAATTTGATCTCTTAAGTCTGTTGGTAACTGTGTTAACTCTAATGGTCTGAGACAATCAAGTATATTTGAAACAAGCGAATTTTTACGGTGGCAGGGCCACGCCGCAGCCTCGGTTGTTGCACGAATGGGCAAGCCCGTCCGGGTGAGTACCACGACCTCGCAGAAGACCAGCGTAAAGTGGAAGTATGACAAATACTTTCGCGTTTCCTCTGGTGAGTGAGTTAGCCGGAGCCCAATTTTCAAAAGGTTGTCAACGCATCTGTAACCCCCGGGTGTAGCAGATGTCCATGGGCGGCGGTATTCACTTACCACCAGGTGAACCGTCTGCTCGTTTGGCAACTTTTCACATAAAAAAAGCAGGGGCACGATGGTTATTTATTTTAATAACGCCGACGCAGGCATAGAGTGTTCAACAAAAACTCTTGTTTTCATATAGTGCAGCGTCGGCAAAGCTTTTACAATTCACGTTTAGACTTTACTTCAACCTTTGGCTTGTACTTTAAAATTTAAACATGACCTACACTGGTGGTTGCCTTTGAATATTAATTGTGTTCACACGTCTTTTGTTTAGCGGATTGTCTGTTTGAGAATTTTTAAATACAACTATGGTTTATACTATAGTTGTATTTAAAAATTTTAGCTCTTATTAGCTAGATGTATTGCCTGGAAACACGAATCTTACAATCAATCCAATCGTCAAATAATATGAAATTCATATAACTAGCGACTCGCCTCGGTTTCGCATGGATGCATATCTTGAATTTCTCGGGTTTTCTCTACTATAATATGCATGTATGCATATAATGCTTCTACTTGGATCACTATCTATTGCTGAAACAACCATTCAAATTCGTTACATAGTTCAAGAGATCTAAGCGTACAAATATCGGGAGCGACTTTGTTTTATACTATGTAAAGATCATGCAACAATATGTTTTATGTATGTGAAAACTCGTAGGGAGACGTTGCAATAGACCATTTCTTCACAAAAGAACATCAAATCACTAGCTAAAGTAAATTAAAAAAAGACCACAGGAATCTCGCTCGACGCACCGCATCGCCTACATAAATCTCTCAGCGCGCACAATGTAAACTTTAAGTTACGAACGCCCCACAAACACGCTTCCGCCGAAGTTGCAACACGAATGCAAAAAATAAACAATGGACTAGTGGTAACAGTTAAACTACATTAACCGAACGCCGACACTATACGATTTAAACGGAACCATGACGATGAACTTATTGGATATACTGTAGCAGTAGATAAAAACGTTGCCACATGCTAAATCAATAGCCAAATTCGTAGTGAGCATTCTGGATACTTCAGCAATATGGTACTGTTTCAGTTCAGATTCTCATAATTGTATAAGTCAATAATAAATTAGATTGTACGACATAATTCGATACATCGGATCTTTAACATTATAAAATCAAAGATTTAATTAATATTTTAAGAGATTAAACTTAATCATTGGCTTCATGATTAAGTTTGTAGAGCGTTCGCGAACTAAGCTTAATAAAAACGTAAAAATGGAACGCTGATCCGGGATTAAGTTTTTACTTTACCTCGGCGCTACACATGATATTATATCTTGTTTTTGTTTTATTTAAGTTTTAATTCTTCGATTGAATAAGTTTCGAAAAGTGAATTAATTAGTCGAAAACATAAAATGTAAAATCTCTTAAACTTTCTGAAATTTCACGAAATGTAATTTGAAAATTTTATGTAGGTATCTAAGAGATTTTTTATCCATCGAATTCGTTGCAGGCAAGCTATCCTATCATTTACATTACGTTACATCCGGTAAGAATACGTTTCATCCCCTCGCCCTAAACGGAAAGAAGGTGCATGGCAACGAGAAATCGATACAAAAAAGGGGGAAAATTTATCGAAAGGAAAGCCGTAAACGTATTCGTGTTCCGCAAGGTCTACGAACAAAAACCTATGGTAGTGCATTGTATCAATACGAAATATTAAACGTTTCTCTTCGAAATTTCCCTCCTTCCGTAAAAGGTCATAAGTCAAACTTCGAAAACTTAATATTTAAATTATTAATTACAAAGTACAATATTCTGATAAATAAAATGATGTCATAATATTTGAGTACAGAAAACGGTTCACTTTAATTGTCATACGTTAGGTTGTTTCGCTATCTAAATTTGTTTTAAGTTGTAATTTGCATCTGTTTATAAAAATAATGTATCGTTTCCAAGATACAGGTAAATCTGAGAATGCATCAATCTTCACTACTTTGTATGAGTTTTTGATAACAAAAGCACATTAAAACGGCATTGGCTCGAATAACTGTCTCCATAACGGAATAGCAACGGAACGGAACCAGCAAGAAATCAAGTTTCGTGGGATTATTGGAGCTGACATTTGAAAAAATCTCTAATAGACTCTAAATGAAATAAAATCTGGATTAAAAAATAAGAAAGTAAATGATTAGTTTCATATTAAACGAAGACGTAATCGAATTGGAAGGTATTCCAGCGGATAGATTTTCTGAATCAATGTTTCGTGTTCCAGAGGTACCTGACAATATCACCAAGCTTTCGTTGTCCCGAATTGCATTGAGGCTCAACACCTGTCATGCCCTAGCCTTGTAAGCCGTTGAAAGGATACTCTCACGTAGACAACACAGTCCCCCGCCAGCGAATAAAGACGCGAGAGCATGTTAAACGAAATAGACCCATTAGTCTGTCGCCTGAACACATTCTTTGAATACGGCGTTACTATAATTCAACGTCCAAAGGAACAAATGGTCAGTACACCTGCCTTAGAAAGCGGGTAATGACTGCACGGGCTATCGTGACCGAGCAACAAAGCTTTCTTCGCCCCGATAAAGTTGGCCGTATCAAACGATTGCGGTTTTATTTCGTTCTGACCATTAATCTCGTAACCAAGAAAGCGCTCCATTGTTTCTGTATTAACACTTCGATAGGAAGAAAAGGACGGACGTGTACGCTGGCACTTTCAGACTAAATAAAGCAATATATAATTCGAAGGAAATCTGTTGTCAGTATTTTTTACATATTGCTGTACTGAATGTAAATATACGGTAATCGTTAATGTGAAAATGAACTCTAATAGGAAATTCTAAAAGTAACTTAAGTTATACAGATCTATGACTTACTTAAATTGTCAAATAGCTACAGCAATTACTGTTACATACATATCTTGCCAGATACATAATCATGGAGCTTTGCATGTACTGTTTTGTACTATTATTATCAATCTGTTTGATATACGTTCGTTAATTGACTTGACTTCAAGAACTTTATGGTACGAAATAATCATCGTTGCATCTTCGATATTTTTATTTATCTGCTTCACGTATCTCAAACGGTAAAGCATTCCTTTTCAACTTTGCGCACAATATGCTAATACAAACTCTTTTGTTTCTAATTATATAGTAGCGTCTCTTAGGTGTTTTTTTCACCATATAGGATTGAAATCTTTAAAACATACCACCGCTGACGACTGGCGTGAGTTTTTATGGTGTGGGGCAGTTTTACATATCCATCATACTTAGTTTCATTACAACTAAGTCATGTATTGTGAAAGCTATTTCCATCAGTATCACAACACAACGTCGACATTTACTTAGCTTATTATTAGAAATAGTGATATTTCTTAGTCAAAATAATGTCAACAGTTATTTAGCTCAGAACACGTGGACACTATAACTGTCAGTTTTAAATTAACCAATGAACCGTAAAATTAACACCGACATCTAAATTGTAACACAACACCGATTCGAAGTCGTTCGACTGTAAAACGTCGATTATTGGACGTTAAATTATTTATGTCACCATTATCTATTGTGTCGACGACTGTACACCGTGACGTGACATCTGACGACGCGGTGTCAAC